TCGTCTTATTTCCCTTCTGATTGTATTTGACTGATAACACTCATATTGTTATTTCTGAATGTATATTATCTTATACTGATTTATATTCTAATGTCTTGTCATCAATTTCACTCATGTATATAAACGATGAAGCAAGAAAGTGAGTTGTTTGAGTAATGCCTTGATATCAGATTATGATTAGTAATAATTCGTGCTCAAAACGTGTGGTCATCAGTAGTAAATATAGCACACACTACACTGTGTGATTTTATCAAAATAAAGTAAAATTTTATCCATAATGAAGTTATACTCTACCACCCGACAGTGTCCAAGTTTTATCCCTATATCATTAACGTCCTATCCGTAATAATCAATGAAGCTTCACACTACACTAGAGTACCCTTTAATAAATTAACAGTCACTATCAATACTGAAGATCAGATGGCCGGAAAGAATCACCAACAAGAAACTATGGGAACAAACAAAACAAGAACCAATCGCCCAAGAAATATGCAGGAGAAATCGGAGATGGATTGGACACTCGCTGAGGAGGCTGTTGGGTGACATCGCGCGTCAGGCCATTGCTCGAGTGGAACCCGAAAGGAAAGCGGCGAGTGGGACGTCCAAGGGTGACATGGAGGAGATCGTGTGAAGAGGAGTTGAAATAGTATGGATTAACATGGATGCTGATGGAAAGTACAGCAGAAGACAGAAGCAAGTGGAGACGTGTAGTTGAAGCCCTATACTTACTTACTTTACTTCGGCTATCTCCTACGGGAGGATGAGCCGGCTTCATGAACATCTCGAATCATCGCTGCCCAGGCGCGGCGATCTGATGCAAGGTTTTGCGACAGGGTTATCGTTTGTAAGAGAGTTCATGAAGTTTCATGGGAATTTGGTACGAGTGATGTCCCCAGAATCGCTCGGCCTTTTGTTTGAGAGTGCAGCTCTAGCCTTTACACAACCAAGTGTGACCTACAAGGCAGTAGGAGTGGAGTAGGGAGTCCACTATCCATTGGCATCCGGTGACCGGAGTTCGGTTCATACGGCTTTTTGAATGGGGCCAAACATCCAGGACATCCAACAAGCCCTTTGTCCATACGTCTGCCGGTGAGCTCCAGTGAGCTTCATACGCCAGTCGTTGGAGGTTTGGAATCAGGGTTCATCCATCTCCCCTAGACTGTCATCCAATGGACAGTCAACCCGGTGAAGAGCGCCGGGCATCCGCCCTATGTTCCACTAGGAACCCAAGGGAACAATAATAATAATCAATAGTGTTATGCTGAATTCTAAACATTCATAAGACAGTTGTAATTGATATATGTGAATTTGATAGAGTAATATACGTCTTCTGTTCAGAAAACGATTACTGATCGATTGGTCGATCGACCCTGAGTATACAGACAATATCAGCTATGATTATATGAGACACCATACAGGCTATCTGAATCCCTTCGGGGTACCTATATCAATACCCGTAATCAGTGTATCTGATTGACACTGTTGAGATGTAAGCTAATAAGAACACAGAAGTTAACGGAGAGGGGTCTCTTTTTCTAACTTGACTTCAAAGCTATACAGTCATTTAGGGCATTTATATGTATGCAGTTTTGATTGGCAATGAAGGTCAGAGGTTGTATTGTCAATACGGGAAATAATAAACGTTTTTTTTGTATTTCCCAATGAATTGAAAACAAAACGATATCGTAGTTTTGTGTACTGACGTTTCGCTATTTAATGCTGATGCTGCTAATAGCTTTATCAAGCTAGTAGTATTATTAAACCAGAATTTACAAAATCCACTCAGCTTGCATTATATAGCAACTTAATCATCGTTCCTCAGCATGGAGTCATTTTTGCGTTGTTGTCAATTTGGTAAAGATAACAAAACCAGGTGTAGACTGTTGGATTTGATAAGCGCAAAAAATTATACAAAAACAGCATGTGTGTTTACATAATGAAATTGTTATCACATTCGTGTTGATTTTATCATTTCATGGGCGTCGCAGGTGTTGTAACCAGGTCAAATTCTGTTTTACTCCATCATTCTTATTCAGCTCAGACAATTTGGATTCTTTTTGATACGAAGTGCTTTCAATATATTAGATATTCTTTGTGATTTCTGAAATCCTTCGGGATTATTTCAATATTGTCAAAATCAATTTCGTGACCTGATTCCATAGCTTAGAGTGTAGATGACATATGGCTGATGGTTTTTCAAGCTTTTCTAGTTCACTAACTGGATTTCTCGGTGGTTGAACAGACACTCACTCTACAGTGTTCATTTCTTCTGATTACCTTGATTTCTATCTGATGAGGTTCGTCCGAAGTATATCGCATCACATTGTAAGAGTTTTGTTTTTGTAGACACAATTAGATTGAGAATCCTAAGGGATTTGGTCTTTTACACTGACAACGTTGCTCTCTAGTGTGTGTGTGTGTGTGATGTTTTGAAGAATATTGTGATATTGTATTTATTGAGGACTCCTCTTCTGATATCGTCTGACGTCTCTGCTCTGAATATAGATATATACTGCAATATCCGTTTTCCCTACTCTTAACTACGCAGTCTAGAAATGGTAGTTCACCGAAGTTTGATTTTGCCGGCTTCCGAAGTGAACTGGATGTTGGGAGATGGATTGTTCAGTTTATCGATGAATGAACTGTGTAGATCTCGTTTTAGCACTACAAAAGTATCATCATCTACATATCTTAACCATATATTAGGTGTGAGTATGCTTGAAAAGATGTTATTTTCGAATCTATTCATGAAAAGGTCAGCGACTATTGGGGAGACTGGTGAACCCATAGCAACACCATTTGTCTGTGTATATAAATTCCCTTTTGAATGTAAAATAATTACTTTCTAGACAGAATTTTAAGCTTCATAATTATTTCACTGGTGTCCAGTGAACATCTTTACGATAGCGTTGTATCTGATTCTAGTAGACTGGAAATGATATCATGACTTTCGGTAATAGGGATACTAGTATATAATAAGTTAATTTCATAGCTTACCATAATGTCTTCATTACCAATTTCTAGGTGTTCTATTTGGGATTTGAAATCATATGAATTCCTTACAATATTTTCAGTGTCCTTTTGCAGTGGTTGTAGTATCGAAAATAAGTCAACATGGTGAATAATCTTACGTAATCGAGAGAGAGAGAGAGGTGACAACTAACTAGTCAGCTGAGGAATATTCAGAACTACAGTTTTAGCAGAATAAAGTGGTACCATCATTGTTTATTTCGTTGCCTTCTCGTCAGCTGCTTACAGGGCAAAGACATTATTAAATGTATCTACAAAACATATTTTAACATACTTGCACAGAGTTCATTTTAAACAAAAATCAATCAATCGATCAATATATGCATACAGTAATAATATATAATATAATATTAAACACTATTCCGAACAATAATAATCATACACAATGGAAACTTTTCAGCATTACGCATTCAGATGAAAAATATCCAGTTACCAGGGCAAAGAAAGACTGATAACCGCTTCTTTCTGGACGCATAAATCAGGTTTCAGGCGCTTGATGGAAATGGCTTCAGCAAACTTGAGGAGAATTGAGCTCTTTTGCTTATTGATAATTTTGAACGACTTTTCGACGTCCACCTCATGACCCGTGTCGAGGAGATGCCTGGCGATGGCACTGTTTAAAGCATTTGTTCCCCACTGGAGACATAGGCTTTTTGGTACATGTTCAGAAAATCGTAGATATGCCCTTCTTTCTGTCCTTCCAATGTAACTGCTCCCGCAGATACATGTAAATTTGTATATACAGTTGGAGTTAACATGAGAAGGATATCTATCGATTTTTGATTGCACCAAAGAGCAAGTTGTTCGATAGACGGGGACGAGCTTAGCTGCAGGATAGGCTATGGCTAGTGATGTACTCAGCCTTCTATTGATCATCGCTTCAATTTTTTCACCTTTACAATCAAGCTGAAAGTAGATCGGCTTTTCTCCTACTGTGATTTGTTTTACATTTGTGACTTCAGATATTCCATACTTGTTGATGAACCTTTGAGGGTACCCATTGCTCGACTAGAAATCTAAGAAAAATGGATAACAAGAGAACAATGAATGGAAAATTGGTTTGAAAAATCAAAAAGAAATCAAAATGCTGCTTAGATTTTATTATGCAACATATAAGGACTTATTATCGATCGATTATTCCCAATTGGCGACTATTCATCACCTCACTAGTTAGATGTCACTTCTCTCTCTCTCTATCGCTCGATTACATTAGATTATTCACTATATTTCACGAATTTTTATTTCTCGTACACTTTGATTTATTTTTGTTACTAATTGAACAATACAAACTTTGGACTTTGTTGTCATACATATAAATCGCTAAATTAACTGTACAGCTCTGAATAGAAGTTTCACAACAAAAAATCCCATTGCTAACTTGTATGTGTTCTAAATTATTAGATCACATGAAGATTTTCTACAATCTAAGTCAAACCAGCGGTATCCGAATCACCAGTCTTACTGTGTCTACCAGGTAGCTGTGCTACGTGATCCAACTTCTAATTGGATCTCATCGTTCCCTTCCAATGTTCACGGTTCATTTGAGACTAATGAGTAATTTATTTCCAGTGGCTGATAGTTCGAGTCCTGCCGCCGCCGCCACCTACATTTTCATTCCATTTCAATAACCAGCGGTCCGTCAATTCAAGATGTTTCCTCCCAGTTTGGGGCTGACTCTTCATCGGTACGCATTCCTACTCGGCTTCGAACCCAGGACCTTGCAGTAACAAGGCTAGCGAACTCGTAAACCATTAAGCCATTGGGACTCGACCCATCCAATGTCACTTGACGATATTATTGCTCAACTAGCAGTAGTCAATGTTATCGCTGTGCGAGTATTTTTCCTCATATTCGACTTTGTGTTATTAGTTTTGACTTTTGTGTTTTATTTTAAGTGAAATAGTTAACACACCCACCTACCTACCTACCTGTGTTCTTTCTCCTCTTTTTTCTCTTTAACACACAAAAAGTTATGGACATCAGGTGTAACTATCAGTCATTCATATGCTCCTGGAGTTGTCAATCCAAAAGCAATCAATACAACATTATATTATCTTGCGTCAAATAGTCCAAATAGTCTATTGTCTTCTACACAATCGTCAGGCAATAATTTCTCCGCCATCGACTTATATAAACTACGACATAAAGATTATGATCAATGTTTCCGTGGTACATATACTCTGTAAGTCTCACTTCATTTATTTTCTTTATTTTCTGTTTTTGAAATGGTTTGCATATTTTTCTTTCTCTAAATTGAATTGTGTTGAATAACATAACTTTTTTCGATTGATTTATTTGAGGATTTCACCTTGACTGATTAAAAATGCCCATTAAAATTTTTCAAAAGAATGGACATGGAACAAAGAGTACTCTTTTCGATAACCCCTTCATCATCAGGCTCTACAGTTATATATACACATTATAGTGAATGAATGAATGAATTAGTGTTATGAACAACATTAATGTTGTTTAAATAACATCGAATCAATAATAATATCAATAGATTACAGTTCAATAGCATCAACATAACAATACACACTGAATATCAGATGACAAATTAGGAAAGATAATAATACAAATTCATGAATTTATAGTCTCTACTGAAGGCCAGCCAGGGCAGTAGAAGTGGCTGGCTGGACTTGCTTCTTTTGCACACAGAGCACTGGTTGTTTGAGGCGAATTGCGATAGCCTCTGCTGTTTGGAGCATGCGGTACTTCTATGTTTTTGGCAATTTATTTGGCACCCGGTAGATGATAGAGAAGGATTCTTCAATGCTGGCTGGCTTTGTGGCCGGTTTGTACTAGATGGTCTAATATCGAGTTGTTAATGGTTTTAACTACACCTTTACTTAGCCATAGTGGGAGATGTTCCCGAGTGAGCACGAAAAATCAAGTTTCTAGAGCAACGGCCAATATAACTCGCTCCACCAAAAGCGCAGTTGAATTGGTAGATACAATTTGAAGTGGCTAGTCTAGGTACTTCATCTTTCAGTCGAGGTAGCACCATCGGTCGTGTAGAGAATAATACGTGTAGTTCGCCAGCATTAAAAGTTCTTTGAACTGATTTTCTTAATTTCTTCGTAATTATCTCACTTGGTATATCGCCCTTGAATTGTAGTCGTATATTAAAATGACTTCTTGTTTACAGATAGTGAGTAGTCCTTTTCGGCTTTCTTTGTCATGTGTTTCTTGATAAATTTTTCGGGATAGCTATTTCATCTTCAGCTGACATCGGTTAGAGAACCACTAGGGAGTACTGGACAGCCTGCCAGCTGCTTCGTCAGCCTAGTTTGGGACTGCCTCTTTGGCAGTACGCACCCACCACAGCCAGTTCGAACTCAGGATCTTCTGGTTACAAGGCTAGCGAGCTCGTAGACCATTCATCATCAACCACTGGGACCCGAGCGATCCAATGACCAAATGCCCATGAATTCGAACTTCTGCCAGTTCACGACATAGCGCGACCACCTCGCAATGTCTTCTTCGATGTGAGTTACTGCCTCACCTTCAACCTGCTGCACCCTACTGGTCACAGCTTCCAAATGTTTCCAATGGTTCTCTAACTGATGTCAACTCATGATGAAATCCTCCAACGAATCAAACAAAATCCCTGCAAAAACCAATACCTGAAAAAATATTTTTTTTTTATTGACTGCTGTGTTTTGATGGAGTTCATTACTTTCGATAAAATTGGTCTCCATTTTTCATCACGTGATCATTTTGAAAGAATATTTGTTTGACTGGTTAGACGAATGCGTCATAGACGTAAAATCAATAACCTTATCATCTGTGTCAATAAATGTTATTTTTGTGTTTGACTGACTGACTGACTCAGCTATAACGTCGTTTGATAACATAATGGAGTTATAAGTTCTTTTGGATTATTTGAAATAATTAGCTGTTATTTACGTTTCTAGTGGAATATATAGGGCGGCTTCAACCTAGAGCTTAGTATTATAAGTTTCCAGACCGTAGGTGTTACGAACTTCCTGGAATAATTTGAGCGCCGGGTCAGATTGATTCATTATAAATTATTTAAATTAATCCCAGCGTGTTTAAGAAAAAATCAAAACAAGATCTGTTTTCTGAACGTTTCGCTGTGTAAGCCACAGCTTCTTCAGCAGATTTATTCGGATTTTGATCAATCAAAATTTTTTTTTACATAAATTGAAGTCAGTTTATTTGAAGGTCATTTGTCCGTGGACATTTGTAACAATAGAAATATGTAAGCAGTCATCACATATATTTGTAATGACTAATGTCATAATGTTATTGTGTATATTTGTCGGTAGGAGTGTGTGTGAGTGTGTTGTCATATGGAAAGTACTTGAATTCACATGTGATAAACATGATACTACATTTTTTTTTAAAGATCATGGAGGCTCATAAAGTGTTTTTTCTCATCTGTCTTGCTTCATAAGAGTTTGCCATTATAGGTGATAAGTCTATCCCTTCTTTCCTATTCACTGCATTCGATGTGGTTGAAATGTGCAAGGCTTCAGAAGTCAATCTTTCTTTATGTGAATGAAATCCTCTTCCAAGAATTTCGACATTGTCGAAATCAATCTTATGTCCGTTGTCTATCGCATGCATTGCTATAGCCGATCTTTTTTCTAGACTTTTTAATTCTACTTCATTTCTAGGTGGACGTTTCGTGCATAGTCTATGTTCATTCACTCTGACCTTCACCTGCCTACTGCTCTCCCCCATATAGCATGCATCACATTCTGAACACTTCATCCTGCAGACACAATTACTTTGTGACATTTTGGGAACCATATCCTTGACATGCACCAACGCTTTCTCCAGAGAATTAGACTTAAATATTACATGATGCAAGCGTTCTTTGAAGTTGTTCAGCTGTGTCCTTTCGATATGGAATGGCTATCGTCGATAGCCAAGATTTTTCAATTTTTTGTTTTCCCTTCTGCTCCTTTTTATTGATAATATTATCTACTAGCTTTTCCAATCACAACCTTTTTTTATATTGGATATCTCGTTCTCCAATATCGTCATTATCTGTTATAATGTTTCTAGCTCTGGCAGTGAGATTTAAAGCTACTGAAACTTTTATTCCTATTGGATGACCTGATTGGAAATTCAAATACTTGTTGGAATGTGTCGGCTTTCTGTATATGGTAAACTTTATTTTCTTGTCAGTTTATCTTTTTACAAGACAATCAAGAAAGTTTTGGTAAAATTAGTGAAGAAGGTGAAGACACTGACGTCCAGCCCTCTCTTCTCATGATTCTAACTTGTCCAGGTGTTGTTGGTTTGCTGGGATTTGATTTGATTTGATTGGTTTCAAGATTTCATCATGAGCTGATATCGACTATTTGAAAACCACGAGGGGAGTACCGGTACCGGACAACCAGCTTTTTCGTCAGCCTAGTTTGGTCTTGGGTCTGAACCCTGGTGGGTGGGTGTGTACGTAATATCGAAAAGTCCCAAACTAGGCTGACACGAAACAGCCGGCTGCCCAGTAACTCCATGTTGGTATTTTGCAATACTTTTTACTTTACTTCGGCTATCTCCTACGAGAGGTGGGTGAATATCACCACTCCTATTTGAAACTGGGAGTTATTCTCACAGCAACAGTGGGGTACAGCAGATCGGAATGGGACAGTGGTTAGTGCCAGACACACTTTAATATCGTGAATTGGCAGAAGTTGGAATTGATGGGATGGTCAATAGGTCGGTCGGGTCCCAGTGGCTGAGAATGGTCTATGCACTCGCCTTGTAATCGGAAGGTCCTAGGTTCGAACCCTGGAGGCGGGTGCGTCCTGATGACGACTCCTAAACTAGGACAACGGAAACAGCTGGCTGACTGCCCAGTACTCCCAGCTGGTTTTCCAATAGTTCTCTAACTGATGTCAGCTCATGATGAAATCCCAGAACCAATCAAATCCCTCGAAACGAATATTTGAATATCAATCATCTCATGCTCACTAGCGGCTGGCTCTATTTAGGTAGTTAGGTAGTTAGTTACTTGGGTTCTAGTGGGAAGTCATGACCAGTGGGGGTATAGCAGGTTGGGGGTATGAGAACATCGTTTCCTTAACAATGTTGGTTTCAATTTTAGTCGCTCTCTGTCCCATCTGCATCTATGCATTATTGATAAATCCTGTTAGTAGTACATGCCACACAAAAAAATGCTAACTATTTCATCACGCGAATTCGATAGCTTATGTTCCATTCCAAATGAACCTTTCAGTGACCAGTTAGTTAGTCGTGGTGTACAACTAATCATGACTGACGGATGCAAAGCAATCATGATGAATGCTTTATCATCAAAATAACAAAATCTATCCAGGGAATTCACCAATCAAATCGCCATAGACCACCAAGCAACACTCTATATGAATTCACAATTACACCAGGTACAGGTTATATGAGCCATACAGTTCGGCTCAGTCAGGAAGAAATAGGTCAAGCGAGATTTGAAGAATCCACAACTTATAGGTCATTTTGATTGGACATTACTGAGTAACTAGTGTAGTGTGTACTACTTTACTTTAACTTTACTTCGGCTATCTCCTACGGGAGGATGAGCCGGCTTCATGAACATCTCGAATCATCTCTGCCCAGGCGCGGCGATCTGATGCAAGGTTTTGCGACAGGGTTATCCAATTCTTGTTCCACAGACGGAGTCCGTAGACGGTTTGTAGCCCCAGGCACTCCATATCAGCCTTGACTGTACCAAGCCATGTTTTCAGCTGTCCACCCCTGCGACATCACCAAGATGGTAATGGCGAGGGGTTTAGAACTGATTTGACCAGATCGTCACCTGATCGGTACAGAACATGGCCAAACCACCGAAGGCGACGTTGTTAGACCAGTACTGGAATTTGGTTGATGTTGTAGCAACGACGACGCACTTCTTCGTTGGAGAGTTTGTCCTGCCAACGAACATGCAGAATGTACCTGAGGCACCAATGGTCTACTACCTCGAGTCTGCGTACATCTTCCGCGCGAAGAGGCCAGGTTTCACAATAGTTCTCTAATCGATGTCAGCTTATGATGAAATTCTAACAGAAGTTTTTTATAAAAAAAAATTCTTTTAATCACAACGGTAGAATATGCAATTTGTATATGCCTACCTTCTTTTAGACATTCTAAGCATCTTTTGAAAGCAAAACATACGCAAACACACACACAAACTTACATACATGCATGCATAAGATTA